GCCAATCTTTGTTGGGAGTCTGGATCTAAAGATCCTCCCAAGAATTCTCATGGGATGGGGAAGTCGACCCTCCACCCTTTCCTATCCATGAATGTGGCCTTCCCAGCTTAGTCCCTTAGTGTGTTCACACTTGCCTGCTCAGATTCCCAACCCTCTTCAGCTGGTCGTGTGAGTCACCAGGTTCAAAGGAAAAGCAAGCTGGGCTTCCCTTCATATTTCTGACTTGAATCCTCCTGGGTACAATCTTCTCTGTCCCTATTTCATTCACATTCTGCTTAGTACACCCTCGGCCACACAGTAGGTGCTTGATGGGGCAGTGTGACAATGTTTGCTATGACCTCTTAGGTTCCTGCAGCAGCAAGCTACAGCATAACCCCCTCAAGATGGCAGACTTTTCTTGTCCCCACATGGACCAGTTGGATTCAGATTGTCCAGATGGAAGAGTAGCTAAGGACACGAGTGCCTTTGTCCTGGGTGGGGTTTGGACATTTGCCAGTGTCCACTGTAGTAGTCCACCTTGACCATCTGAAATCATTGCATTGCATGGTAAGTCCATTTCATATAGACTCTTGGTAATTCCAATTAAAGCAAACAATTTTGAAGCAAAACCATATCACATATTCAGACCTTGTATATAGGCTACATTTTTTTTTTGTTACCGTGATCAATTGCCAGACAAAGCATAGAAATGGATACTTTGAGATAGGAAATCAACTGAGTCAAAATCAATCATTTTTAGCTGAATATCGTGAGAACAAGTTTGCCTACTTATTTGCTAAGGCAGGGTCTTCTGTTCTCAAATGAAGATTTGTGATGTATACATGCAGCCCCATCATGCTTAAATTGTTGATTATGATAAATTATTTGGGAATCAAATGATGCTCAAGTGATACTTTCTTACTTTTGTAAACCCCATTATTAGACATGCTTTTGGCTATTGAGAATCATTGAATAATGTCTACTAAATATTTTTTTTGCAAAGTTATCAATCATTCATTCAATGCAGCATAGGCTGCAAAAGAAATTTTTCAAATGAGAATAAAATGGGAAATTGATGCTAGGCAAATACAAACCAAAAGAAACAGAGATGATGATATTTATATCAAACAGAAAAACATTCATGCTAAAAAGCATTAAATAAAACCAATATGTTAGTCAGCCTTTTTGGTCATTGTGACCAAAAGACCTGACAGGAGTGTGTAGAGGAGGAAAAGTTCATTTTGGCTCACAGTTTGAGAGGTTCAGTCCACAGTTGGCTGACTCCACAGCTCTGGGGCCAAGGTGCGGCAGAACATCATGGCAAAAGGGCTTGGAGGAGGAAAGCAGCTCAGGGCATGACAACCAGGAGCAGACAGAGAGCACTCCACTTATCATGGACAAAATATAAACCCCAAAGGCATGCCTCCAACGACCCACCTCCTCCAGCCACACCCTGCCTGCCTACAGTCACACCCAGTTAGCCCCTATCAGTGGATTAATCCACTGCTTAAGTTAAGGTTCTTGTAATCCAATCATTTTACCTTGAAACTTTGTTGCATTGTCTCATACAGGAGCTTTGGAGGAACACCTCATATCTAAATCATAACTACCTACAAAGGTAATTTTTATGCCAGACAGTTTAGATGACAAGAGTTATGGAATTAATATCCCTGCATCAGAGTATTTAACAACAATGTGCACAAGACAAAAACCATAGGAGATACCAGGAAAAATAGATAGGCACGCTAGTTGCAGAATATTTTAATATGCTATTCTTGGGCCATGATACACTAAGGTTAAAAAAAATTAAGGTATAGAGAGCTTAACTCTTTCCAAATCCTGTTATGAAATTAGAGTAAATGATACAAAACGTGACAGATATAAGGACCAAATATTTATGCAAAATATTTAAATAAATAGTAAAAGCAAAATCCCACAGCACATTAAAAAACTATTCCCAGAATTCAGTAAAACACAGTCCAGCAATGTAAAACTAACTGTTTTTTTTTATTTTAATTTGATATGTATGACAGCAGAATTCATTAAATTCATATTAGACATATAGAGCACAATTTTTCATATATCTGTCTGTATTCAAAGTATATTCCCACCATTCGTGTCTTCATATATGTACTTAGGGAAATGATGTCCATCTCATTCCACCATCTTTTATATACTACTTTCCCCCTTCCCTCCCTTCCCTCCCATTTGCCCTATCTAGAGTTTGTCTAATCTGCCCATGTTCCCCCTGCCAACCTCACTATGAATCAGCCTTCTTATATTAGAAAACATTCGGCATTTGCAAAACTAACTGTTTTAAGGAAGTTTGTTTCTAAATTTTGTCATAACGATGGCTCTGAGGACAAAAATAAAATGATGTATCTAGCAATGGTCAAAAGGCATTTAATCACCAATCTTGATTAAGAAATAAACTCAACAAAATAGAGATGGATTGAAACTTCTTTAATATTATAAATTATAATATTAAATCAAATTTATGAACTTTAAAAATAGGAAGAAAGTGGTGCATCTTGTATGATTTAAAACATTTACTGTATTATCTTGGTTCTGGCCATAGAATTTTATATTTTTAAAATTCTAGACTGGGACTGAGGCTGTAGCTCAGTGGTAGAGCGCTTGCCTAGTATATGTGAGTCATTGGTTTGATCCTTAGCACCACATAAAAATAAACAAATAAAATAAAGACATGCTGTCCATACACATCTACAAAAAGAAAAAAAAAAGGATGCAAACAAAAACTGATTAAAAGAAATTCCAGACTAAACCAGTGTTCTCTCTCTAATCACTTTTATGTGAAATAGCTTAGGGAATTCTTGACAACATATTAAGCTGTGAGATATATCAAAGGGACAGACTTCAGCAGGCCTGCAAAATACAAAAATCTTCCTAGAAAACCCAAGAGAATAATTTGAAAATTTATCATAATTAAGAATAGTGGAGCTCAACAGCTGGCTACAAAATAAATACAAAAAGCAAAAGGTTCACTTAATCAGCAAGAACTAATTAAAATTCCTGATGAGGGGAAAAACAGATTTTGTTAATAGCAACCACAAAAACACAAAATGTATGTCAGGAATCTGGAGCTAACACAAGGAAGACCCCGAGATCCATGGTGTGGGAGAGCTGAGGACCGGCACAGCAGACTCAAGACAGCCCTGAATCCGTACCCCATGCCCGTGAGTCAATTGCCAGGAGATGAGCTTTTTTGCAATGGGAGTGGCAAGATGAGATGAGCTCCTCAAAGAAAAGGCATTCTATGTCCTTCCACAAATACAGAGATGGAAGAACTAAGTGGATGGTTAGGAGACTAATTTCTAAAATAATAAATGGGATCCTTTGTCAGGTTGTTGTTAATCTAGAAAAATAAGGGGCAATTCTTATTAGGACTTTCAGTAAGGAAAACTGGAAGCTTCTGTTGTTGTTGTTGTGTTGTTTTAAGGCATTAAAAGGAGCACACAGGAAGGAAGGCTTATGCACAGGCGATTTCTATGTGCTCCACTTCTGGGGAAGGGAACTGGGAATAGGAGCAGGGCACGGGGAAGCAGGACTTCTTGCTTTTCACAGCAAACCTTCTCTTGGCATCCTTTGAATTTCTCTACCATGTCTATTGAATTCATTGTTAACTCTATGAATAATTTAAGCCCATAAATTTCCAATTGAAAACCAGAAAGGAAAAACAATGAGACCCCCCAAAATGACAGATTTGACTATCCAAAACCGTAAAACACCAGTAAATAGAAGCACAAAGCAAAATTAAGCTGGCAGTAGTGAAATATGCAGGCGTATCCGCGTCTCAATGTCAAGTGTCGACTTGGCATTCTCCATGGAAGGAGAGATTGCACCAGAGGAGGATCAAAGAGCAAAGCAAGTCGTGAGGGTAGATGAACCCGGGACACACACGGGTTCCCAGAGGTGGAAATGGGAACACCAACAAACAGGTGAAATGTCTCCAGCTGGCTTTGGGTCAGGGTACCCTGATTAATATGGCAAAGAAATACTGTTTCTCACCAATCAAAAAGTCAAAAATTAGAAATGCTCTGTTCCTGAAAAAGCACAGAAGGAGACCAGGTTCACCCAGATGACCGAGCACCGAGTAGCAAGACTTTCCCAGAATAGTACATGGACATCTCCTGAGCCTGAAAAGCAATCCCGTCCTGAGACTCAGAAGTCCAATTTCTGTAGAATCTAGGCTACAAGTGATTTGCAGGGAAGAGAGTGATTCACGCAAAGGTGTTTACTGTCCCCTTAGTTATAGTAACAATGAGGAGAACGTTCAGAGCAGAACCTGTCATGGACAGAAAAGCCCATCATCACCTCCTGCATCAAAAGACCTCAACGCTTGGAGACACCACGATGTTGTCAGCTTTGTGAGTCAGCCATATGCAGTTCACAGACTGATTTTCAAATGAATGCCAGCAGCATTTTTTCCACAGTTCGATGCTCTGGGCGGTGGTAATAACTCGGTTGAGTGTGGAATCTGAAAGATGCGAAATGGGAGTGGAGGGCAGTTTGGCCAGGGAAAGCTAAACTGGGTTTGGCAGCTACCTGCATGGAAGAGGGAGAAATGACATGATGTCTACTGTCGTGTCCCCAAAGACAGAGAGAGCTAATGAGGGGAAATTGGAAAGGAGTGTGGAAAACTTCATAAGTGGTCCTGAAATGCCAGGGTAACCCTGCCCTGTGATGGGCTGAGAAACCGAGAGAGCCAGAGACTAAGCCTATGCAAGTGCAGGGTTCAGCTCCTCCGCTCTCTCCATCCTGGCCATTGACTGAGGCCCAGCGGCCCTACTGCCCCATCCTAGCACATCTGCTCCCTGCCTCTCCCACAGGCCTGCCTCTTCCAAGGTGGAAGGACAATGGCCTCATTGTAGACTGTGGTTTGCAGCCTCACCCCTTAGCTGCAGCATGGACTGCCCTTTTCTAAATGACAGTCAGTAGTTGGTCTTTGAAGGATAACTTTCTAGGGTCTTATTCAACATGAAGGTTTTCTTTCCAAACAGGATTACCAAACCAATAACAATGACCAGGCAGTGGTTGAAATCTGTATCACAAGAATCACAACAGCCATCAGAGAGACAGAGTCCATTGAGAAGCATGCCAAGGCCCTTGTGGGGCTCTGGGACTCCTGCCTGGAACACAGCCTGAGACCCTCAGGGAGGGACGAGGACCCGCCTCATGCAAAAATCGCATCTGATATCATGAGCTGCATTTTACAGGTACGTCAGTGTTCAATGGCAAGCTGTTTGACACCAGGCGAGAGCACAATGTCTAACCAAGAGTCAGTTTTTCTGTACCCTTTAGATACTATAAAAGACACCATGATCCATTAGCAGCTGATCCAACAGGCTGGTGATTAAAAAACCAAGAAAGGCCTAGTGGGCCCCTGCTACAAGCAAGACCCCCTGTAGGGAACTCAAAGCAATACCACAGCAAGCCTCTTGTCTACTTGGAGAGATAAGATGTGTGCCTATAAAAAGCTAATAATAAAGCAGTATGTCCAGAGAGATCCAAATGCAGAGCACTGGAAAATTCACAAGGGAACTAACTCTTTCATCCTAGGAGACCAAAGAGGGAGTGAAGACTGAAGGGAGGCCGGGAGCTTAGGCCACATAGGAGGAAAGAGGTAGCTTTAAGAGTATTTCTACCAAGCGCAGTGGCAACATGCCTGTAATCCAAGCAACTCAGGAGGCTGAGGCAGGAGGATCTCAAGTTCAAAGTCAGGCTCAGCAATTTCGTGAGGCACTAAGCAACTTAATGAGACCCTGGGGATATGGCTCAGTGGTTAAGCACCACTGGGTTCAGACCCTGGTACAAAAAAATAAATAAAAAGAGTATTTCTGTATGCGCTGTGAATGCTTCATGATGATATCTGCCTGTTCTGACCCTGTTTAATTCCTTTCTCTGATATAGATATGAATTTGGAATTTGGGCTTAGACACAAACCAGTTGTATGACAAAGAAATGTAGGGCATGTCCCAACTTCCTGAGCCATGGTTTCTTCATCCTAAAATGCAGATTAAAGATCATTGTTTAGGACAAATTTTATGAACCAGTGATGTTGGCATGTGTTTCTTAAAAAGGAAGTCTGTGGCCAGGTATGTTTGGAATGCTGACTTCAAGTTTTCCCCTTCGAGCTGTCAAAATGTTTCATAGCAGATTAAAGACCCTGAAAAGTCCTGCAATTAAAAAGGAAAAAGCAAAACAAACTCTTAATTTTGTTTAGTACAGCATTTGCCAACCTGATTAGTCACAGCACCCCTCTTTCTTCTCCTCGCCTTCAATACAATGTTGATGAACATCCCTCAGAGCCCACTGACTTCCACTGTGCCCAGGTACGGACATTCTGGTCACACTGAAGTCCTCGGCACAATATAGTGGATAGTATTAGTTTCCCTCCTCCTCCTCCTGATCCTCCTCCCTTCCTCCTGCTTCTCCTCCTCCTGTCCCCCCTTCCTCTCCTCCTCCTCCTGTTCCTCCCCCTCCTCTACTCCTACTCCTCCTGCCCTCCTCCTGCTCCCTCTCTTCCCACCCTGCTCTTCCTTTCCCCTCACAGTTGTCCACGCTTTGCTGGCCTACATTCTACTTAGTCTGCTCCATCCAGGGACTTGTCAACTCACAGACCACACATGCCACCATACCGTTTTCCTGGGTAGGAATGGGTGGAAAGGTCATGAGGATTTCAGCAAAATCAGTAGAAGATGACTTCTATTTCTACAGAACAGCAAACACCTATCAGATCTCTTCTTCCTTGATTGTCTTGAGTATATCATTGGTGCACATCAGAAACAGATTATTCACTCCAAAGAGCCACTCTGCAGACATTCAGATAGACACGCACAAATCAGTCCTACTTTCCAGCTCCTTCTGCATTTAAAACCACTGGTGTAGACTTGAAAGCAGAGGTATCCAACGGAAATCTAATGTAAGACACAAAATGTGTCATTTTAAATTTTCTAGTAGCCACCTGCAGAAGTAAACAGAGATGAAACTAATTTGATAACATATTTTTCTTTTTTTTAAATTTTTTTTGAGAGAGAGAGAGAATTTTAATATTTATTTTTTAGTTTTCGGTGGACACAACATCTTTGTTTGTATGTGGTGCTGAGGATCGAACCCGGGCCGCACGCATGCCAAGCAAGCGCGCTACCGCTTGAGCCACATCCCCAGCCCGACAACATATTTTTCTTAACCCAATATGTGCAAAGTAATACCATATCAACATGTAGTCAATACAACAATTAGTGAATGGTTTGCATTTTAAAATCCTGCCTTATAAATCTGCTTTGTATTTCAGCACCTCTTACTTTGGACTAGTCACATTTCAAGTGCTGATGTGCTTCAAGGGGTTAGTGGTGCCACTGTTAGCATGGGCCTAGAGTCGGGCAGGTTGTCTGGGTGGAGGTCGTGTTGGAAAGGTTTTGAGGAATGAGCAGGAAAGTTACCAGATAGGTGAGCAAGAGGACACTCCGAGCAAGCAAAATGAATACACATGTACTTCAGTAATAAATTTTAAAACCAGCTTGTGCAGAAGTACAGATTTGTGAACTAAGACCCAAGTTGGAGAACTCTTAAGTGGGCTACCCTTCCAAAATGCCCGTAGTTCTAACACAAAGGGATGTTTTATTCTGGGCAAGGTGTTTTTGTGTCTCCTATGTAAAAGGGGGGCATAAAGCAAATGCTTTTGAAAAGTAGAAATGGCCAACTCACTGGTGATCAGAATAAATGGATTTGTAGGATTGTTGAGAACAGGGTTGTGAGGTACGGGACTGCTATTTTGGGAAAGAGAAGAGAGAATGACTAAGAAATTGGCTCTTGATTGAGAGGGACAAAGAAGCCAGCCTGCAGGGATGGGGATGGGGGGGTCGGGGTGTTGGAGTGACCTTCTTGGGTCCCAGGGGGATGCAGAAGCACTGTAGAGACGGCAGGAAGCCGTAAGGGCACATGTCCTTCAGTGTGTCTCCCAGAACCTCAGCAGGCCATGGTGGTCTCACAGTGAGGATTCAGCCTCCAGCCAATTTTAAGGGGAATTTTTGCAGTAAACATTGAAAACATGATTTTTTAGCACTTGTAATTGAGGTTCTTGTGGGAACCAGGGAGAAATTCAGATGACTCATTTTGCTTTGTTTGTTCAGTGAAATAAAACAGATCAACTTTCAAAAGTCAGGGAGTCCGGATTTTTAGCTTGCTCGAAATGGAGAATAAAAAAGGAATGATTTCCTCTCTACCTGGATTCCCACTTCCCAAGATACAGGTCAGCAATCAAGATCATCCTGTCTAACCAGGCAAGGGCCAGGGCAAGGGCAAAGGCAAGGACAAGGGCCAGGGCCAGGGCCAGGGCCCTGGCACTTCCCACACCGTTGACCATTTTGATTTGCTTTTTGCTGACTATTCAATAATTTTAAACTGAATGTGAGCACCTATGGTTTTATACACACACACACACACACACACACACACACACACACGTGTACTTTTTGATCTTTCCTTAACCCCAAATGTCTTGTTTTGGCCCACTGTCAACCCTACTTCAGGTATCCACACTCATTCCTCTTTTAATTGATAATCATATTGAATTCCTTCTTTTCTTGGTTCTAAACTTATGAATTTGCTGCACTGACCTTAAAAATAACTTAAAATTCCAGTCACTTTCTCTTCCTCCCTTGATACAAAATCAGTACATGTGCGCGGCAGGCACGTGTAAGCTCTGGGTCTGGTCTGGTCTGGTTTCACTTGAGGCTTCTGCTTCTACTAACCCATCCTGTGTTCTCAGACAAGTGTCTGTACCTGTCACCTACAAAACAGCTCACCTGCCAGCTCAGGGGAGAGGCGGAGGTAGAAGAGCAGAGAGCTTCAGAGCTTGAAGCCTGAGAGTCTTAGGGACCTTGTTCTTATGTAGATGTGAGACTGGCACGTTACGTTCTCCAACTCACCGTTTTACCATCTGTACGGCGGGAGGGCATTGCCTACATCCCAGGATGCCTAGGGTTATAGGTGACAGGGAGAGTGACATCCTCACACAGTATAGTAGCTTCCTACTAAGTGTTGTGTCTTGTAGGACAGTGGCATCGAGAGTCCTGTCAGCTCCATGCCATTAAGCTTCTCATTGGGAGTGGTGCATGAGAGGGGTGCCCTTTCCTACGGAAGGCTCTCCCCCTGGTCCAAACTACAGCTTCTCTCCAGCTAAGAGCATCCTCTGGAGGAAGGTTTCCTCGTGGAGTCGGCTGCTGACCCCACAAGGCACACTACTTCTAAGCCATAGACAGACTTGGAGAGGGTTGATGAAGATTAAAATGTGCCTCAGGGATGTTGTGATTATGGACACAGTTGATGTACTGGAGCGAAACCGTAGCAACCAATAGACGGGCCATGATGGAGTCTGAGAGCCGTTGCTGGGTGGACCCCTGATGTCTAGTTCAGGTTCAGCCTCTTCCCAGCCACACTGCTTAGCCCAGCTGTTCCCAGGTGTTGAAGCAGCTCTGCGTCACCTCTTTCCCCATCTCTGCCACCTCTGTGGATGACTGTGTGAAGACGAGGATCACCCAAGAGGGTTGTTGGAGATGGGGTGCTAGGAAAAGCCTCAAGTCCAGTTGGAAAACCAGGAGCCTCTATTTCCCTCCTTTAGAAGGATCCTGGGTCCGTTCTCCTCCATTCCAGGATTTGGTCATCTCAGGCTGAGTCCCCCAGTCAGTGCTGTGTGAAGACACACGTGCTGCCCCTGGCTGGGTCTACCAGGTGTCTTGGATGACCGAGTGTCTCCTCCAGGGCTCTTGGAGGAGGGACTGCTGTGTCAGTGTAGAAGTTTATTCCAGCCAGTCCCAGCTCTCCCATGGACCCATGGTGTAAGCTTGGGCAAATGGACCCTTCTGTGCCTCTATTTCTTGGTCTATAAAATCCACATGATAGGAGTAGCTGCCTCGTGAGTTCTTTGGAGAAGCAAACAAACAGTAAATAAAGACAGAATGTGTAGGACAGGGAAGCACTGCGTGAGTTTCAACTCTGGCTGATCCCGTCATCATCCGCAGGACACTCTAAAATTGCTCTCAACACTTTATAAGAGGCTACTGATTTAATAATTTAGTCTAGCCGTTGTTTACTGCTTATTCCCACCCTGTCCAAGTTGTAGGCTCTGTTTATTCGTGGAATTAGTACCAGCACCTAGAATAGTGTGTGGCACATAGTAGGTGCTCAAATAACATTACCTGAATGATCGATTGAA